CTGGATGGTTGCATGTACCGACCACTCCTTTGAGGGCGGGCCTATGTTCGAAAACAAAAAATCCATCATGTTTAAGGCCGAGAGGCTGGATGGTCGCATGTATCGACCACTCCTTTGAGGGTGGGCATGTGTTCGAAAACAAAAAATCCATCATATTTAAGGCCGAGAGGCTGGATGGTCGCATGTATCGACCACTCCTTTGAGGGTGGGCATGTGTTCGAAGACAACACACCAATCATGTTCAAGGCCTAGAGACTGGATGGTTGCATGTATCGACCACTCCTTTGAGGGTGGACATGGGTTCAGTGGCATTTAAGTCATTGTGATTAATTAATTCATAGTGCTTAATCAAGGTGGTTAATGATGCAACCTAAGTAGGTGATATATATGGAATGGATGTATGGAGATGGCACAAGCTCAAACGTAATAACAGTGATATGCAACAGAACACACTAATGCGCAGAAATACAACGGAAAACCCAACAAGCTTTGATAGATATGATTTGCATTCATTTACCAAAGAAAATACAGAGTTTACTCAGAACAAATAATTGAAGTTCAACCAAAACAAATCACAACATATTTCAAGCAGCAGCATTATCGGGATTTTGGGACGACTGCTCTATGTTGGCATCGGAGTTATCAGAAGTCTGCTCCGGAGGTTGCTCGAGCTGTTGTGGCTGTGGCTCGATCGGCTGGCTTGGGCCAGAAGTTGACCCGGCCCCATCGGACAACGGGTTTTGACGGGCAGAGGGGGGAGTATAACCGTCGGGCAGCTTGAAGTTACACTTCAATATATCGTCATGATTCACGACACGCTCGAGGAGACTCGACCACTAATTGTAGTCGGGATCGAGGTCGAGAGAGCTTTGATAACCAGCAGGGACCTTGGGCATGGCGTCCCAGATAGCTTCCATATTAAACTCTTCGAAATCATCTTCGGCTATCTGGGCACCCGCTTGCTGCATAATTGACTCAAAGCAGCGAGTCCCATACTCCTGCACATCTTTAAGAAACTGTGGCGACTGCTTGAAAGCAGCTACCACTTGAGTGCGATACTCCTCGAGGAAGCGTTGACCGGCGGTGGTATGAAAGCCCGAAGAGCAGCCTCATCGATTAGAGGCTTGGCCCTCTACTCGAAAGCAGCATTCTCACGCGCCCGAGCCGCCCTTTCCTCCTCGAGTGTAGCCTCGAGGGCTTTTTGTTTAACTCCCTCAGCTTCTAATGCAGCCTTGAGAGCCTCTTTCTCTGCTCGCTCGGCCGCAAGCGCCTCTTCAAAAGACTTCAGGGCCCCCTCGAGCATTTCTTTCTCGGAGGTGAGGACCCTATCATTGGCCACCGCTTCCTTTATTTTTTGTTGAAGCGCATAACCTTTGTGAACGAGCTCATCCACCCAATTACTGAGAAAGAGAGATCCTCGCTCGATCGCAGGGATGGAGTGGCTCGAGCTAGATAAAGCTTGCTCATCAGCGGAGCAAGTTCACCATTCCCTATAAGGGCACATATTAGAAAGAGTTAGATCACAAACAACAAAAAGAAGTAAAAATGATAATCATCGAGTTATAAGGGGTTACCTGAGCCAGCCATATGGCGATACGGTTGCCTCGGTCACGAAGGGTATGACAATCATTGTAATGGTCGGTGGGAAGATCGACAGCGGGAAGAACGTCCCTAAGAAAGGACGATACCCCCGCACTATCGAGCAGAGTCAGTGAGATGGTAGAGGAGTGCGTGGCAAGGGTGGTTTCCTCGAGTCTACAGCGTTTATTAGCCCCCTCGTTCCCCTCAACAGGAGGACGCTTGAGTTGACTCTCCCCGAGCCGGTTCTCCTCAGGAGAAGCTGATATATAAATGACCGGAGTGGGCGAACCATGAGGGGAGATTGTGGCTGAGGGGATGCTGGTCGCTCGAGCTGTTTGAGCTGCTCGGGCTGCTGGTCGACATGAAGGTTGGTCGAGAATGATTCCTTGATGATTGGCTCGTGAACGGGAGGAGGACGAGGATCGAACTCCATGGAGGAAGTCGTCTGCTCGGGCGGAGGTGAAGCAGAGCGAGTAGATTGAGAGGTGGTCGAGTCGGCAGGTTTGGAGCTCGACCCCCCAACGGCCTTTTTCTTCAGAGGAACCTTCCTCTTCGGCAAAAGGATAGCAGGCATCTCTGCAAGAAATAATGAACAAGTTAGAACCATAACAAATAAGTTGCATACAAAACAAAGACACAGCAATGCTCGAGCACATATAGCAATAAATACCGGGGTGGCCTTCGATTCTGATGAGGTCGAAAGTTTCCTGAGTAGGGGAAGAAAAGGACTTATGGGTGAAGAGACCACAAAAGTGTAGGAGGTTATTATTTTCGAGTAGAGTTTTTGACGCAACGGACTTACGGTTCCACACAGTGATCCGTTGGTCGAAAAGGGCATTCTGAGAGGGTGTCGTATACTCACGCTTGAGGTCCTTAAGCCCCGGAGTTGGCGCCCAAGGAAAAAAGGGGTTAGGTTCGACGAAAGAAAATTTATCTTTCCACTTGGGAACATTCGAAGGGGTGTCCGAGATGAAGTGGACATCATTGTGGCTCTTGAGGTAGAGTCCTTGAGAATGTTTTGAGGGTGTGTTACAGTAATGGAAAAAGTCTAGGTCGAGAAGACCTAGACGAAAGTGGCAGAGGATGATGAAGACGGTTTTAGAGCGGATAGCATTAGGAGGGAGCTGGTTCAATGGAAGGTCAAACCATTTGCAATGATCGAGCAAGTCTTGGCACAAAGGAAAACGGACCCCAAGTTTAAATTGTACCTCGAAAAAGGTATATCAGTTCTCTGGAGGGTTATCATAAGTATCCTGAGGACCAGGAGATACAAAGGCCCAGCTAGCGGGATGGCTGACCTCATCGACATCCAACCAACCGGCTATGAGAGCACGGAAAGAAGCCTGTCTCGAATAGGAGGCTTTGATCAATTTTTATTTTTTGGGCAGGCTTAGGAAAAAGGATAGTAGTAGAGACAGATTTGGTCTTAGAAGCGGCAATAGTCGAGGATTTTACTTTGAAATGTGAAGGAGCGCTTTTCTTAGGGTTACTCGAAGAGGCGGTAATGGAAAAGATGGAATGGTGAGAGAAGGGAACATCATCCTCATCCTGCTCGTGGGCGGCCTCAGCAGCATCGAGGGCCGCTTCAGCAATGTCAGAAGCCCCAAACGCCGATCGACGGCGACGAGTAAGACGAATGTGGTCAAGAGTATCATCGTCTGATTCGTCAATCAGACGATGAGGTTGTGGTGGAGCAGAAAGTGTTGAGTAATCGGAAGGGCGAAGAAAGTTGAGAGGAACGGGATTATAGATTTCTTCAACAGAGTTGGATGGAGAATGGGGAATAGGTTGGCGAACCGGAGAAGACGACGGATTGGTTATGTCTTCGCCGGAACAGTGAGTATTCTTAGAAGAAGCAGCGGAATCTGAAAAATAAAGAAAACAAAAAATTGTCAAAGGGAAAACCTTTAGGGAAGAGCAGAGAGGGGAAGAGGAGAGGAACTCCGCGACTAGGGTACGGACAGAACTTCAGAAGAAAAACGACAAATCGCAACAACAAAAAACATACAAACATAAAATTAGAAGTACAGGGAACTTACTCATGTTTGCAATGGGGAAAGTTGCTGGAAACCTTGTAGCCGATGGAACAGAAATGCCGAGAGCAAGGGAATTCGATTTGCAGAGGAGAAAATTAGGGCGCAGAAGAGATTGAAAGTTGCAGAAGTGAGAAAAAGGCCAAAAAATGGCTAAGTATGGTATTTATACGGATACAGATGAAGACAAGTTGAAGAGTTGGGAGAGAGAGCCATTGGATTAAAGCAAGGTCTAATGGCCGGGAGAATTAAAGGGGCGCGGATAGTGAAGCGGCGAGATTGCGAGGAGACACGATGATTAGAATTACTGGACAGATAAGACACGTGGCAAAAGAAAACAGTATCAATAATAAAGGATGATGAAGGATGGCTAGAAATTTACAATGGGGCCAGCCACGTGGTCGAAAAGAGGGATAAGGTTCAACAAATAGTCGACGAATAGAGACAACACCAGTCAAGAGGTCGAAATGAAGGTAAACCCAGGAGACAAACACAAATTCACTCTTAGATCGAGTCATTCAGACTCGACCAAAGTGGGGGGGGACTAGATGATATGGGATATTATACGCCCGAGGAATAAACCAGCTCATAAGGTCAGTCAGGCGATCTAAATTTCGGAGATTCTACGTTGGTCGAGCAATGGCAGACTGAAAGGAAGTGGTCGAAGAATCAAAGCAGACCTGGTCGAAGATCGACCTACCAAAGGAGGAGTCATTCAGTCGACCACTTGGCGAGTAAAAGAGCAATCGAGAGCGTGTGACGGACGAGAGGGCGAGCGTGGAGTTCATAAGGAATATTCAAGGAAATAATTACCCTCTGCTCAGAGGGGCACGTGGCGAGAGTACATTGGTGCAGAGTGATAGTGGCGATAACCACCTGTGACATACACACACTAGGTGTGTACGGACGGGCAGATCCGGGCAGCGCAAGGAGGACAGCTCACCAAATCCGGGCAGCTGCTAGGGCAGGTATTTCACTCCTATATATATATGAGTGAACCTTTCTTGTTAACTACGATTTATCCATTCTATACTTTGGAGAATTGAGTGAGATATATACTGACTTTTAGCATCGGAGGCTCTTCACCGGAAAAACCCCCTAGTGTGAGAGTTTTTTGCAGGAACACGGCGTTCTACCGGCGAGGAGGAGGAAGACGAGCCGATTTCAAGCCGGTCGGAGTGTTTTGCGTTACCACTATCTAAGTGCAAAACAACAGAACATAGAACTAGATTAATCGAACATGATTCTCAGTCATAAAGGGTAAAAGTGTAATATCATCCAAAGCCAAGCTTTTAGTATATAACACCAATAGCCCTCCCACTGGAGTTTCGCGGCTTCTCATCCCCGATCCAGGGTGGCTGGGGTCGATTCGGCTTCTTGGCGGCCCTACCTCGGCGTGGCGTTCCCCTGAGTGTTGTTGGCCATGGCGGAGGGTGTTGAGGTTTCCGGTGAGTCACCGCGTCTTCCTCGGCCGCTGGCTCTGGGGGCTGTCTTGGCGGCGTTTTTGGGCCAGGGCTCGTGTCTTGCTCCCGCCTGGGTCCGACCGATCACTGGTGTTGTGATTGGTGGATTCCTCCGGCAGCGACAGCCCTGGTCTACAACTGATAGGGGGTTGTTGGTTTGTGGGTTGCGTGGGGGTGTGGCCAGATGCAAGCCACCTGAATTTTCTGAAGGAGGGTTCCTTTGGAATGAGGTGTTGGTGTTCGAACAAGTCCTGGTTACCCGATGTTGGTCAGGAGTTTGTAATGTCGTGCTTGCAGTCGAATATCTAGGGTTTGGGTTACCGGTCAACTCGTGTGGAGTAGACATGGCCAAAACCTGGGTCGGGCCTGTTGTAAATATTTTTCCGGAGTAGAATCGAATGATTCGAACACCGGGTCGTGTCTCACGAGGAAGGTCAGCCGGAATATTATGGACATTTATTCAAGCACTAATAAAAGAAATAACATTCCTAAACATCCTAATTCAAATGATTGGTTTTGGTTTATATTATCGACTACTAAAGTAATTTAAATTATGCAAAGGAAATAGCAGGCAACAAAGAAGAATAAGTAGGATTTAAGGAGCTACGGAGTCGGGGATATCCGTTTTGGTTCGAAAATGTAATTGTCAAGCGAGAGATTGTTCGGTTAAGTGATTTGACTAATCGACACGTTCAAGCACTCATTCTCTATAACTTTTCGTAACAAGAGAACAAACTAGAACGGCAAATTAACAATACATTTAACTTCTAGGCAATACAGTTACGAACAAGCCTAGTTCATACGAGCCTATTTCGACCGACTTCTCCCCTTTCGGTTCTAAGAGTCGATTAAAGTAGACTAGAAAGTGTTTAATCAACTAGTCCGTATAGAATAACCAACATCAAGCAAGAATAAATCGAACTCAATTGCAAACAATTGGTGATTGAAGTGTCACCCTTCAACAATTCTAAATACTCGTGCCCGACAATTGAAAAACACTAGAAAAAGATCAACTCGTATGAAATTGAACAATCCTGAGCCCGACAATCACAAACGATATCGAAACATCAATCCCCTATCCCTAGCATATGAATTTATCCAATCATAATCGATTCAACACCAACAATCTCAACAATCAAGACAAACATATTCATAGATTAAATGAAAAGAAAATCTTACGATTGATGAAATCCCAAGGTTGAATACGATAAACAAGCTTAATCCGAATGCAATAGTGAAATCCGAGTTCAAATTCGTGTTGTACGATGAAAAGTATGAAAGGAAGATGAAAAACGAGAGAAAAGAGACGAGAGGGTAGGGTTTTTATGTTCTGGAGTTGAGAGATCATGCTCTGTCGCAGACCCGACCTCATTTATATAGTTGGGAACTTGCCACGGCGGTGGNGGCTGCAGGCTGTCGCGGCGCGGGGCCTAGGCAGGTGGGCAGCTCGCACAACTTTGCTTCTCGGGTCCGTTTGAGCTCGTTTCAACTCGGAATTCGATTCTGTTTTTTCTTGTGTGTTCCCAACGAACTCCTCTATTTGATTAGGCTTGCTCAACTAGTATTTTTCCGAACTCCTGTTCTCGCGAGACTTCCAACCTATGCATCAACGACGATGAAACAAACGGAAAACGAACGAAAAACACAAGAAAAACCAAGAAGAGAATAAACACTAAATAAACTATAAAATGAACTAAAACTCATCTAAACGACCTAAAATGGGAAAAAAGAAAGACAAAAAGACAACGAGAAATGCAACAAAAATGGGACAAACAGGGCCCGAGCTGAAGGGTTGGGTTTCATGGACCCTGAACCAGCACGGAACTAGGGTCGTGTCGGGTCCATGGCCCGATGGGCCGGGCTGGTCCCGACCCGAGTTTGGGCCCGCCAGATAAAAAAAATAAAAAAAGATAAATATCTAAAAACAATGTGTTTTCCCATGTCGGACCGGACATGCCCGGACTCGGCCCATCCGCCGGGCCAAGGTCGACAAAAACAAGACCCTGGACCGGTCCGTGGTCAACGGTTTTAACTGGGCCGGGTCTGGGCCAGCGGGCCGGGTAGCTCGTGGGCACGTCTAGTGAGGAGGGATTATTCTAGTATGTATTTGTGTGTTGTTGGTGTATTGTTAGTGTTTTATTGTTTTCAGGGGCGAACCGATTCATGGGCGATGGCCAGGCTGAATTTTTACTGCTAAAGGTAGGTTATTGCAATTTTTAGTAGAAATTTTGGGTGGAAAATGCGCAAAATAGAGTTGTACTCGTCGCAGGGAAAAAGATGAACTAATTGGTAAGGATTTTCATTCTTTTTTTAATATGCCTGCCAAAACGATGTCGTTTTTGGCTTCCACTTAATTAAAAATTTGGAAGCCAAACGACGTCTTTTAACTTAGAAGGTAAAAAATAAATAAATACATAAAATACTTGTTTGTCTACCCCTACACACACGCACGAGGTACACAGGCAAAGAAAAAAAACTACCTTCAAAACTCACGAGCCTCGTGAAGATTAGATCCCCAAATTTCTTTGAGGAAAAAAACAATCCTCCAATTTCTGGTCGTTGTCTTCAATTTTAAGTTCGTAGGCTCATATTGTTCTTCTCACTTCTAAAGGAGGCAAGGATCGAAATTTCTCTCCTTTGTTTCTAATGTAAGTGTTTTATATTCAATTATTTATAGCAATTTTTTTGTAGACTTTAAATTCATATTTTTTTTGTATTATATTATGCTTATTTTTCTCTTTTTTTTGGTAATTTGTTGTGTCGTGCTGTGCGTAGGAATTGGATTGGAGTATGGTATACAGTATGGTTTTCTTATGTCCAGGGGTTTCTTTTGTAATCTCAGACAACATTATTGATATTTTGCAGTCACGTAGTCGTAGATGAGGTCTAGGATATTTCTGTGTTACATGTAGTGATGAATTATGATTAGCCCTTTGAACGTTGAGTTTCTGAAACTTACGTAGGGTGTAACTGAGTGTGAAAAGCAAAACAAATCCACTTACATCTCATGTTTCATTCATGTAAGATTCATGCTATAGCTGGTATTTGCCAAATCATTTTGTGCAGTACATGTAAATAGCATGCTAATATGCTCAAGTCCCAAAAAACAAAATAGAAATAACCGTCATTACAAAATTCTCAAAAACATACTCTTTAAGTAGCTGTTGTGCAATATTTTGTGGTGGGATAATTTGGTAACCGAGTTATCCGGACTCGGGTCCTCTCTCAAAGAAAGACGGTTCGGAGCTTCGTTTTCTAGTTAGTTTTCCAAAACACAAAAATAGAAAATAAAATCCTAAACAATCTAATCAAGATAAGATTGGTTTTTGGTTATCAACTAAGAAATAACAAGAATAAAAATCTATCTAAGAAACATAAATGAAATAATGATAGAGAAGCTAAGGAGTCGGAAATAATTAATTCGAATTTTCTTTTCAGTGTCGGGCAATTAATTGTTCGGTTCAAGATTGATACTCTCGCTTAAACATCTAGCGGTTCGCTCCCAATAACTCTTCGTAACATGGGATTGAACATAGACGAGCAAGTTCGAGCATACAACACCGGCCAATAATCCAATCCCAATACCTCTTCGTAATATGGAAAGGGACATCGACAAGCGTGTACTTCAATCCGAAACCTATAGACAATACGTCTCCAAACATGTCTACCTCATACGAGCCTAGTTCTACGACTCCTCCCCTTTCGGTTCTAAAAGTCGCTAATTCAATTAGAAGGTGTTTAATCAACTAATCATGTGGAATCAACAAAATCTAACTCAACAAATTAATATTGAATCATTTCCAATCGCAAAATCGAAGTGTCACTCTTAGATTATATCAATACATTAACATAAGTGTCACTCTTAGGTTATATCAAATTATCAATAAATCAAGTAAGAATTCATCAATTCAACTTGTACAAGAGTGAACAAATTAACTTCCAACAATTACGAATTAAATACGAATAATTATTTTCTATCCCTAGCAATCGGAATTACCCAAGCATATCAAATTCAACATAACAAAATATTTATCCTAAATTCACCATTTTCATGAATTAATCAAAGAGAGAACTTACAATTAATCCCAATGTTGAATCCAATTACAAAGCTTCATCCTTAAGAGAATAAAGGAAATTTTGTGGAAGAAAGAAGAAGAAAAGAAGAGAAGAAGAAGGAGAAAGAGAGGGAGAAGAGTATAGGGAAGAACCCTTCGGTTGAGGTGTGTTTTTCTCTTCAAACCTTGTCATCCTTTTATAGCCAAATTCTCCCCATTTTCCTCCACCTTTCAAGCCAACAAATTCAAGGAATCAAGGTAGAATGTTCGTGGCTCAAAACATGGAGGAAAACATGGAGAAAAGTGGAAGAATTTATGGGAAAAATCCGAGTGGAGGATCTAGTGCCACGGCGCGAGGAGGCAGCACGGCGTGAAGGAGGTCTTCGTCGCGCCGCGGAGGGTCTTCACGCCATGGAGCTGGGAGCAAGCACTCTGAAGGTGTGTCGCGAGCTCGTCACGCTGTGACGCGGGCGCGGCGCGCGCCTAACTGGGCAGCTTGCTCGGCTTCACATTTCGGGCTCGTTTGGACTTGTTCAAACTCGGAATTGAGTTCCGTTTTTTCCGACATTTAGCCAAGGAAGTTCTCTATGCAATTATGCTTTAAAATCCAACTTCTCCTTGAAGTTGGCGGCTTCCGTGCACAACTCCGCATATCGGGCCCGTTCGGACTCGTACGAACTCGAAATCGAGTTCCGCTTTTTCCTATATATCGCTAACGAACCCATCTATCTAACCATGGTTTCTGGCCCTTTTACTTGCTAAATCTATTCCTCTTGGGCTACTGACCTGCACACCGAAAACAAGAAAAAAAATGTAGAAAACCCATAAAATACACGAAAAACACATAAAAAGCCAAATAGAGCAAAACACACGGTAAACTATAAAGCAAACTAAAAACCAACTAAAGACCTAAAACGGGGGAAAAAGAAGAACAAAATAACAACGAAAAACGTAACAAAAGACCTGCACACTAAAAACAAGAAGAAAAACGTAGAAAACTGACAAAATACACGAAAAACACATATAAAACCAAAATAGAGCAAAACACACAATAAACTATAAAACTAACTAAAAACCAACTATAAGACCTAAAACGGGAGAAAAAGAAGAATAAAATAACAACGAAAAACGTAATAAAAATGGTCACAACGGTAGCAAGAATATGCATTCGACTTTACACAATGCTCCACAAGAAAGTGGGCTAATATACATAAATTACAAATCCATAGATCAAATACATGATAAGCAAGTATACTCTTTATGCAAGAATTGTAAATTTATTATTTATTTTTTTTTCATGAGCTCACGGCTGGTACTATTACTTGTACAAAAGTTCATTAGTTCACAATTATCAAAATGAGTTTGTTATTTTTTTGAATTTTTTCTTTGAATTTGGTAATTGCATATGTTAATTGAAATCAATTGTTGATTGCAGACTTACATTAATGGAGCAGTACTACCAAAAAGTATCAAATTTAGAGGAACCTTCATCTCTTTTGTCGTCTAAGAAGAAAAGTAAGCTCGATAATCAAAATTCAAAGAGCACCGAACTTGACGAAAATTCAAAGAGTACCGAACTTAACGAACTTTTGGAAAATCTCCCTTGGGATCCGGCATGCTGAAAGTGTATCTTAGATTACGATCCAAATATTCGCAATCAATTTAGACGACATTATCTACTTAAGGGCCCTTGTTGGTTTAATTCTACGGGACATCTACGGGACTAAGCGCAGGTTTAATTCTTCTTGGTTTGATGACCACGTTGAATGGTTAGAGTATAGCATAGAGAAAGATGCTCTATTTTGCCTTTGTTGTTATATCTTTAGACCGGAACATGGTGACCAAGGGGGTAGCGATACGTTCACAGCTACAGACTATAATAATTGGAAAAATAAACAGGGAGTTAAAGATCATGTCGGCACCGTTAGTAGTGTTCATAACCGTGCTTTGTTGCATTGTCAAGCTTTAATGAATCAGAAACAACACCTTAAGTCACTTATTAGTAGTCAAGTGGAAGTCTCAAAAGAGAATTATCATACTCTCTTAAATGCTTCAATTGATTGTGTTCGTTTCTTGTTACGACAAGGTCTTGCTTTTCGTGGTCACGATGAATCTGAATTCTCAAAAAATAAAGGAAAGTTTCTTGAACTTTTGGAGTTTCTTGCTAAACATAATGATACTGTTAAGGCTGTCGCCTTTGAAAATGCACCGAGAAATCTTCAATTGAAGTCGCCTAGTATACAAAAAGACATTATAAATGCAGTTGCTGTTGAGACTGGTAATGCAATAATGTGTCAAATGGTTGATGCTCCATTTATATATTTTGGTTGATGAAGCCCGGGATCATTCGATAAAAGAGCAGATGGCAGTGGCTTTATGGTTTGTTGATACTAAAGGTGAAGTAATTGAACGATTTGTTGGCATTGAACACATTAAAAGTACTTATGCACATTCTTTAAAGCTTACAATTGATGAGCTACTTTCTAGAAATGGGTTGAGCATATCAAATCTTCTAAGCTAAGGCTACGACGGGGCGAGTAATATGCGAGGCGAGTTTAATGGCCTTAAGGCACTAATTTTGAAAGAAAATAGTTGTGCCTTTTTATGTTAATTGTTTTGCCCATCAACTTCAACTTGCACTTGTTGCTTTAGCCAAAAATCATGTTGGGGTTGCTTCTTTTTTTAATCATGGTGACAAGAGTCCTCAACCTTGTTGGAGCATCATGTAAATGTTGTGATCTTCTTTGGGAGAAAAAACAATCTGGACTAATAGAAGCTCTCTACAATGATGAGCTCCTAAGTGGAAGAGGACTAAACCAAGAAGCTGCTCTTAAACATCCAGGTGACACACGTTGGGGTTCCCATTATAACACTTTGTTGAGCATTATATCTATGTTCTCTTCTATCATCAAAGTTACTGAAATGATAATCGAGGATGGGGCTAGTGCTGATCAAAGAGGAGAATGTAATTTGTTGCTTGTACAGATGCAATCCTTTGATTTCATCTTTTGTCTTTTTCTACTGAGACAAATTTTAGGTGTAACCAATGAGTTATCACTATCATTGCAGAGGAGTGATCAAGATATTGTCAATGCTGTGGATTTGGTCGAGGCAAGCAAAACAACAACTCCAAAAAATGAGGGAAGAAGAATGTGAATGGAAAAATTTTTGGAGAAGGTAAATTCTATTTGTAATAAGCACGACATAAATATTCCAAACATGGATGATATGTTTGTTCAAGGAAAATATCAACGTAGGGCTGAGAAGTTAACGGTCTTCCATCATTATCAAGTGGATGTCTTTTACGCGGTGAACGATAGACAACTTTCAGATTTGAATGACCGCTTTAATTAGGTAAACACCAAGCTTCTCATTTGTGTTGCAAGCTTGACTCTGGATGATTCCTTTTCTGCTTTTGACAAGCAAAAGTTAATTCGCCTTGCTAAATTCTATTCGAGAGATTTTTCTGAAAGAGATGTGTTAGCACTTGAAGGCAAGCTTGATATCTACATCAATAATACGTGGACGAATACTAATTTTTCCCAACTTAAAGGACTTGGTGGTCTTGCAAAGAAAATGGTGGAGACAAGAAAGTACATAACTTATGCATTCATCTACTAGCTTCTAACTTTGGCTTTAGTTCTTCTAGTTGCTACAACTTCAGTGGAAAAATATTTTCGGCTATGAATCTCGTGAAGAGCCCACTCCGCAATAGAATCGGAGATCAATGGATGAATGATAGTTTACTTGTTTATATTGAGAAAGATGTATTTAATAGCATTAGCAATGATGCTATAATGCATCGGTTTCAGAATATGAAATCGTGTCGTGGACAACTACCTGCCCGTCATTGACTGAAAAGTTGTAATTTTTTTTTAACTTAAGTGAACTTAAAAAAAAATAAGCATTTTTTATTTCATATTGCCCTGGCTGATATAAAATTATGTGTCCACCCCTGGATGTTTTGTTTGGTTTGTGTTTGTGTTCATTATCCTGTTGGGAGTTGTATTCTTCCGTTGGGAGCTTGTGGGTGTGTTGTGCCTTTCGTTTAGGCTGTCTTGCTGGTTGTCCTCCGCAGGATTTGTGACCAACACTGTATGTATCATTGTCTTATGTCAGTACATGTGTGTTTGTGATGTGTTTCCAGTTGACTTGTAGTGGCGGTTCATGTGCGGAATCACCTGATGAAATTTCTCCTATATATTCATTGTGGGCCACCTTTACAGGACTCTATATTGCATATTACGTTGTGGGAAGGTCAACAGGGTGAGAGTATTATGAGGACTTTCTCTTGTCATGTGTTGTATGTATATTGTTACGCTGTTGTTTTGTTGTTTGTGAAACATATGTTGCTGCTCAGGTTGTGGTTTGTGTTGTTGCATATCTTTAGTTTAACATTTCATGCTATTTAATTCAATGACGTGTGATTGGCATAATGAGGTCGTATAATCAGCACATGAATTTAGAAATGCCGTCTAAGTTATATGGTCTCATATTCCAAACCATCTGTCTAACAATCATCAGATGGGCACTTACACACCCAGTGCCACAAAAAGAATCTGAGAAGTTGAAGAAAAAGCAAATGACGCCCGACTTTTTGGATATGGTCCCTTGGTACTCTGGGTATCTCTCTCTCTCTCTCCCACACACACATACACACATGCACACACATAGAATACTCTAATCTCTGGACTTGTTCAGTTATTATATTATATGCTTGAATGATATAGGACATCTGCTGATTTATTCAAGACAGTTTTTGACCTGATGGTGTCAGTAACTGTCTTTGTCGGGCGTTTTGACATGCGCATGATGCAGGTATGTTTAAATCTTTTCCTGTTAGCATAAATTTTCCTTTTTGTTTTTTTTTTTTTTAACTTTATCAACAAATCCTTTTTTCAACTTTATTAAATCTAGTTTGATGCTATTAGCTTTTCAAACTACATGTTCTTTTTTCATTCCATATTTGCGGTTAATGTTATTTACTCTCATTCCAATTTGATTTCAGTCCGTCGTTGGTTGTGAACTCTTTATAGGCTGCAATGAGCAGGGTTGAGGATGCAAGTTCCATTAAACAGGACGATCTTTTTTACGATCAGTTTAGTGAACAAGATGAGCTTTGGTTTGATTTCATGGCGGACACTGGTGATGGTGGTAATTCTTCCTACAGTGTGGCAAGACTTTTAGCTCAACCTTGTATTCGTGTCAGGAGTAATAATTCTCTGCTCACACTTCAGCGTGGTGGCCTGCTCCTTATTGGGGGTGATCTTGCGTAAGGATTCTCTTTCTGCCCCTGTTTTGTGGGGTTTCCCATGTATAAAAATATCTATGTAACAAATAATTAAAGCTTTCTCTTGTGAAACAATGAAGGGATAAAAATATTGAAGTGTACATATATGCAGTATTCTAAATGGCTGGACCATCTGTCTAAAGTAAAAAATGATTTTCTACATTTTACAGTTGATCATGGGTATTCAAAATGGTTGTCATGGTAAAGTGGTAACAGAAGTTGATTGATGACAGGATTAATGATTTCTTTCATTTCATGGCGATTATGAAGATATGTTTGTATATAGAATATAATGATTAATGAAGTCTATCTATGCCTCCTTTGTTGCAGCCTCTAGAATCCCATTTCCAGATTGCTTCTTAAAATTCCCGAACATCTTATTTTCACTAGAAAATACTTTTATTAAATGCAAAAATCATCTAAAATATAATTCTTGGGGACCTTTATGTTAGAATTGGATATAACTTTATTCGATATAAATCGATTAATCCCAGGAGCATTCATATTGAATAATTGAGAATCATAATTGAATAGCGGAAGCATACATGATGGATTCATGTTGATTGATCTCTTTAGAACTTGATCCCTTTATAACTTAAAATTTAATTTGGGATTTAGAAATCTTCCAAAAGGCCGTGAATTTTTCCTTATTATTTCTTTCGGACGTGTTGAAAGAAAACTGATTTCTATCTTATAGAAATTGATAACCCAACCCTCCTTTTATAATTGATAATTGTGTCAATTGAAACAATTAATGTTGGTAGTGTCGGCAACTACCAACTAATCCTTTTTTTTTTTTTTATGGGTTATCCTAATGGGCATCACTTTATTTTTCACGGCTTTTGGGGACTCCACCCATAAATAATTTGACCCAAATTATATGGTATTTAGGTCCTTAAGTTTAATATTATTATTTGTTACGTCACCAAATAATAATATTACCGGGTGTCCACATTTAATTATTCCACAATTCAAATTAAGTTCCTTAGCCAATATACAAAATTTGATCACTTAATTTGGCTAAACAATATAATGACCCAATGTATTAATTACACATATTCAATCCCAAATAGATCCAACAATGATCTCCCACTGGATTAAATATGTGTCCGGATAATATATTACCTTATGAGCTCAAAATATGGTCATTATTACAGAACTTAAACAATCTGGTCCATTAATCACAACAATATAGGACTAAAGCAGTTTTCGCTGAATAGATACAGCTAAACTATCAATAATCACATATATCACCATAATTAAATGACATAGAATAAATTGTGGAACGTGTGGCATGAAAATTACATGAATGTGATCAGCACATGTCAATTTTCAACTAGTCCAAACTTAATGAGATCGTTAAGTACCATAATATGATGTACAAAATGTCATGAACCAAAACTTTATTTCTGATCAGAATAGGTACTTTATATATCATCGAATAAAAATGACAAAATATGTAGCAAATGCTCCCACTAGAGTGAAGCTTCCTGAATATGTATCACACCATATGAGCAGTATGCTCGTAAAATACCATAGGTGTTACACCTTTAGTTAGGGGATCTGCTAACATAGATTTTGTCCCTAAGTGTTCGATGGAAATATGACCACTTTGTACCCTCTCCTTCACAGCTAGGAACTTAATGTCAATATGATTTGACTTAGACGAGCTCCTATTGTTGTTGGAGTACAGAACAGCTGATTTATTGTCACAATAGATCTTGATAGGTCTTTCAACCTCTGGAATAATTCGCAGCCTTGTGACAAAGTTCTTTAACCATATTCCCTGGTTTGATGCCTCAAAACACGCCACAAACTCAGCTTCCATAGTGGAAGTGGTAACAAGTGTTTGTTTAGCACTACGCCAGGAAATGGCACCACCGGCCAACATAAATAAGTACCCAGAAGTAGATTTTCTACTATCTTGGCACCCCGCAAAATCGGAGTCAGAATATCCAACGATCTCCAAATGGTCTGATCTCCGATATGTGAGCATATAATCCTTAGTTCTCTTTAGATATCTCATCACCCTTTTTGCTGCTTTCCAGTGATCCATTCCAGGATTACTAAGGTATCTACCTAACACACCAACTATGTACGCAATATCCGGACGCGTACATACTTGAGCATACATTAGGCTCCCAACTGCCGATGCATAAGGGACCTTTTGCATTTCCTGGATTTCCAAATTTCCCTTTGGGCATTGACTTAGGCTAAATTTATCACCTTTAGCCACAGGGGTATTTCCTGGTTTACTGTTCTGCATGCCAAAACGCTCAAGCACTTTATCTATATAGCTCTTTTGTGATAACCCTAGAATACCCCGAGATCGCTCTCGATGTATCTGGATTCCTAATACAAAAGACGCTTCACCAAGATCTTTCATTTCGAAATTATTCGAAAGAAATTTCTTAGTTTCGTGCAATAACCTCATATCGTTTGTAGCAAGCAGAATGTCATCCACATACAAAACCAGAAAAATAAATTTACTCCCACTGAACTTGTGATAAACACAATCATCAACAACATTCATCTCAAAACCATACGAGATAATTATTTGATGAAATTTGTGATACCACTGTCGAGACGCTTGTTTGAGTCCATAGATGGATTTTCTTAATTTACAAACCATTTTCTTCGGGTCATCAACCTCAAAGCTTTCTGGTTGTACCATATAGATCGTCTCATCAATGTCACCATTGAGAAACGCCGTCTTTACATCCATCTGATGTAACTCCAAATCAAAATGTGCCACTAGAGCCATGATTGTTCTAAAAGAGTCCTTCGAGGATACCGGAGAAAATGTCTCTTTATAGTCAATCCCTTCTCTTTGAGTATATTCTTTAGCCACAAGACGTGCTTTATACCTCTCCACATTACCATTTGCGTCCCGTTTGGTCTTAAAAATCCATTTACAACCAACAAGTTTTGCACCTTCTGGTAATGGGACAAGTTCTCAAACCTTATTGTCTTGCATTGACTTATACTCTTCACGCATCGCTTCGATCCATTTATATGAGTTGGGATCCTTCATAACTTGTTTGAGATTGATCGGATCATCCTCATTCAAGTCACCTACATCCTCATTTTCTTGAAGAAATACCAGATAATCATCCGGAATGGCATTTCTACGTTCTCTAGTGGATCTCCGCAAAAGCGTTGGCTCTTGAACTGTATGTTCTTGAGTTTGTTGAGTTTGTTCTATATGTAGATGTTGAGGTTCAGGTTCAAAATGAACAGTCTCCTCAATTGTATCTTGAAACTGTATGGGAGCTGGAATGACTATTTCCTCTTGAGGAATCTCTTGATCCTCAAAAGTAAAGTCCGAAACTGTATTTCTCCCCCCAAACTCAATATCCTCAAAGAACGTGGCAGTGCCCGTCTCAAAAATATTTCTTGATGTGGGATCAAAAAATTTATACCCCTTCGACCGTTCCGAGTAACCAATGAAATAACTGCTCACTGTACGAGGAGCTAGCTTCGGTTCATTTGGCCTATAAGGCCTCACCTCAGCTAGACAACCCCACACCCTAAAATGCCTTAAGCTAGGCTTACGCCCAGTCCATAATTCATAGGGTGTTTTAGCAGCCGCTTTAGTTGGTACTCGATTTAGGATGTAGACTACAGTCTTTAGTGCTTCCCCCCACAAGGATCGTGGTAAAGTAGATTGACAAATCATACTTCGAACCATATCCTTTAATGTGCGATTTCGTCTCTCAGCAACACCATTCATGCTAGGCGAACCTGGCATAGTATACTGAGGAACTATTCCACACTCTTTAAGGAAGTTAGCAAATGGGCCCGGACATTGTTCACCAGATCCGTCATTTCTGTCCTAATATTCACCTCCACGGTCAGATCTGACGATCTTAATGCGTTTGCTGAGTTGATTTTCAACTTCAGCCTTAAATGCTTTGAACATGTCCAAGGCCTCAGATTTTTCCCATATGAGGTATAGATAACAATATCGAGAATAATCGTCTATGAATAATACAAAATATTGTTGACCATTCCACGAAGGTGTAGGAAAAGGCCCACAAATATCCGTATGTATCAACTCTAAGACTTCCGTAGCTCGATAAGCACCTATCCTCTTTACTTTGGTTTGTTTACCTTTAATGCAATTGACACAAACATCAAAATCCGAGAAATTAATAGAATCAAGAATTCCATCCTTAATGAGTCTTTCAACTCTATTTCTCGAAATATGACCCAAACGTTTATGCCATAGCAAACTTGATTCATTTAATTTTCGCTTAGTACCTTTTGATTCCACATTGAGGTTTCATTATAGGAAGTTATAGTATTTAACATATATAAATTATCATTTTCCATATAAGTACCAAAACCAACCACATTAGAATTAAAAGACAATACAACTTTATTGTTACCAAATGAACAATAATAACCAGATTTGTCCAAATAAGAAACAGAAACCAAATTCCGTCTAAAAGACGATATAACAAAAGTGTATTTCAATTCCACAAAATGTCCAGTACTTAATAATAATTTAAATATGCCCACAACTTCCACATCCACCGATTCACCATTTCCAAAATAAATGCGTCTTTCAGCATCAGTTGGTTCTCGGTGGCTCAGGCAACCCTGCATTGAAACACTGATGTTAGTAGTTGAACCGGAGTCTAACCACCAAGTGTTTCTAGGTACTGAAGCTAAATTAACTTCAGAACAAACCAAATTAAAGAATATACCTTTCTTCACGCGCCAGGCGAAATACTTAGCACAATCTTTCTTTAGGTGTCCAGATTTCTTACAAAAGAAGCATAAAATCTCCTCCGGTTTAACCTTTGGATCTGGACCTTTAGCAGTCTCAACCTTAACGGCCTTATGTTTTCTTTTAAAGCCACCATTATCTTTCGAGGTACCAACCATATGTACCTCCTCAGCCCTTTTATGCTTCATTCTTTCTTCTTCCTCAACACAGTGAGAAATGAGCTCATTAAGAGTCCACTTCTCCTTTTGGCA